GTAACTGCGATCAATTAAAAATGTCTGCGACCGGGCGACGTCTCAGAGAGGCCCGATATGCTCCTGCAGTCGGCCAAGTGTAATGCGGCCTTTCGCAATTTGTTTTTTGACCTTCGCGATACCTCGGGACGTCTCTCGCCTCCTTCGCCAGCCTCATCCTTCTCCGGCTCTTTCACCTCCTCTTCGCGGAGCTCGTGTAACGCCGCGCCAGCGCGCTGCGACACTACGGGACAAGAGAGATCCCGGTGCGTCGAGCGCCCACACGCAGGGCCGTACATAGGTCAGGGCACACGTTGGACCGACGACCACCGCGACGAGGCAACGTCGACGACTCGTGGGTCGCCGTTGGCAACGTCGGTTACACCAAGTGCCCAGGCCAAACAGTCCTTTGCTCCGTCGGCGTTCGAGCTCGTTGGTTCTTTATTGTTTTCCATTCTATCCTGGTCTTTCCTTGCGCTCTTTTTCTTTTCCTCTCTCTCTCTCTCTCTCTCTCTCTCTTGCTCTCTTTTAGTTTCACCTTTTTTCCGTTTTTTTTTTCTTTTTTTTTCTATTTCTTTTTTATATCGCTTACGTCGCGACTGACGGCCGACGAGAGCGTGGGTCGATGCTGGGGACCGTATCCTGCTCGGTGGGAGTGTATTATCTGCGCTGCGTGCGTACGTGCGTACTCGATATACGTATACGTCCGCGAGTTTCACGTATGCCGTCCTGCGATTGTGCGTGCGTATTTTTCTCACGAATGAACCCGTACGGACTGTGTCGGTGCGCAAACGCGCTGTCTATTATGATTCACGTCGGGCCGAGCCGAACTTCTGTGTGCAAAGACAATTTCGGCGAGCTGTATGCGTGTATGTATATATATATATATATATATATATATATATATATTTCGCGTTTCCCACGCAGGCTACATCGGAATCCCTTTACGCCCAGATCCATGCGGTCATTCATTTTCCTGTCTTACGATCCTCATATGCGGTTTACCTCGACGACTTCGCCTGCCAGTAAGTCTCAGTGGTCGCTTGTATTTATTTGCAGGGCAATAAACCCAAAAACGGATGTCCGGTATGCGAGAAAAACTGCCCGCCGAGACTGACCAAGCCTGACGAGACTCTATGCTGGAACAAACAGCACTGCCAGAAAAGTGAGTAGCGTCCGTTAATTGGCTTTGTTATAATTGACCTTGCCTTCGAGTAATTACACGATCACTTGTACTCGAATGGTATTGTGGTACTTGGCACGTATTATATTTTTTCTGGTATGTTGCATCTCCTTTTTTTTTTTTTTTTTTTGTCGTAGAATGATCCATAAGTACGTCCCAGTGATGTATGGATGGGTAATATACCGCGATGACGATGGCTGGGTGTCGTTTTTAATGGGAGCGCGCGTTTGCACATTTCCGCTTTCAGAAATAGCGCCGCTCGCTCTCTGCCACTGCCTGTCCCCTCCTCGCCGTTAATTCATACGCGTTGGAACGAAAGTGCTATCTGCCTGCCAGTGGCTAATTACAATCAGCGCGATTTTTTAATTGACGCGGCGCTCTAGCTCATTGTTCTCTTGTGGTTTGTAATCGAAGTCACAGTGGTAGCGGCGGCGGTAATAGTCATAGTGGTAACAGCAGCACCGGTAGCGAAAGTAGTATAATGGCACTGCGGGTAACGGCACTAATAATAACAATGGTCCAACAATAACAGATACCGCAGAGGCAATGCCGGTCAAAAATTTACGAGTACAGGCAGTCGCTGTCTGAATATCTTTTTTTTCCCCAAACGACGCTTTCTAAAGTTGGACTATTTGTTAGCGGTGTGAAAGGATTTTTTTTTCCTTTTTTTTTGTTCCTCGAAAAAAAAATTTCACCCACGAATAATTACTCGCGCGTCCCTGCGATTAGCAATGGCGTAGAGCCAGAGGGTTTTCCGGGAGGTCCGAGTGCACTTAAAAATTCATGTTCAACCTTCGTCTCTATGTTTTCTACAGTTTGCGATAGTAAATGCGGAGATTATGCGTGCAGCGATTCCGGCACGTGCTGCCATCCGTCTTGCCTCGGAGGATGCACCGGACTGACGGCGCAGAATTGCACCGTCTGCAGGGAAATGGTGGTGGACGTGAATCAGTGCGTCAAGAGGTGTCCGATCGGCACGTACGAGTTCATGAATCGAAGATGCATCCAAGAGAACGAGTGTCGGACAATGCCGAAGCCGAAGGAGGCACTGGGAACGGTGAAGAACTATCCGTACAAGCTGTTCAACGAGAGCAGCTGCGTAATCGAGTGTCCGGCTGGTTACATGGAGGAGGAAGTTAACGGGAAGCCATCTTGCAAGAAGTGCGATGGCTCTTGCCTGAAGGAATGCGCCGGTGCCAGCGTGGACAGCATCGCCTCGGCACAGAAGCTTCGCGGCTGCACTCACATCACCGGGAGCTTGGAGATACAGATACGAGGCGGTAAGAATATTGTCAAGGAATTTGAGGACAGTTTGAGCATGATCGAGGAGATCGACGGTTATCTAAAGATCGTGAGAAGCTTTCCACTGATCTCCCTGAATTTCCTTAAGAAGCTCAGACTTATCAAGGGCAATCAGCTGGACAACGGAAAGTACACGCTCGCCGTACTGGACAATCAGAATCTGCAAGAGCTCTGGGACTGGGACACCCATCCTAAGATACAGATCAGGTCTAACGGCGCCCCCGGGAAGGTCTTCTTTCATTTCAATCCGAAACTCTGTCTTCACAAGATCGAGAAGTTGCGCGAGGTCGCCAATCTCGCTGAGTTCTCGCCCCTCGAGGTGGCGCTCAATAGTAACGGCGACAAGGTTGCCTGCAACGTCACTGACATTATTACCAGGGTCACCAAGAAGACGTCGGAAGCTGCGCTGATCGAGTGGCAGGCCTTCAAGCATCATGATCCCAGATCGCTACTGGGCTACGTCGTGTACTTCATTGAGGCGCCTAATAGGAACGTGACCATGTACGATGGCCGGGACGCGTGCGGCGGCGATGGCTGGAAGGTCGACGATGTCGGCGCGACGGAATCCTCAGATTCTTCGGTTCCTCTTGGCGAGGAGGATTCCAATCACACGGAGTACCTGACTCACATACTGACCCAGCTGCAGCCGTACACCCAGTACGCTTACTACGTGAAGACCTACACGATAGCCACCGAAAGATCTGGCGCTCAGAGCAACGTCAGCTACTTCACGACCTTCCCAGACGCACCGAGCGCACCGAGAGCTCTGTCCACCTGGAGCAACGCCAGCAGCGAGCTGGTGATGTCCTGGTTTCCGCCACTGCACAAAAATGGAAATCTTACGCATTATCGGATTGTCGGTCGCTGGGAACCGGACGATCCGAGCTTTCTGGCTCAGAGGAACTACTGCGACGAACGTGAGTGAGACTCTGGGTGGTGGTGTAATGGATTTTTTTATGAAAGTCAGGATTAGAATATAAGGTATACGTATTTTCGCAGCCTTGCTACTTCCGGAAAAGAAATCTTTGGCCGCCATGGCCGAGGAGGAACGTAAAAAGGCAGAGAGCGAGATGGAGCGAGCCAGGACGCCTGAAAGAACAGCCTGCGACTGTGCGGATCGTGTTCCCGATCAGTCGATACGCGAAAAGGAAGTGTCCAGCTCCATAGCATTTGAGGATGCTCTTCACAACAAGGTTTACGTGAAGAAAGTTAATTCTCGTCGTAGAAGAGACGTCAGTGCCATGTTAAGCGCCGTTCGTAAGAATCCGGATACTTACTATAGTTACCCAGAGGTAAGTATATCGTGAGAACCAAGGGTCGGATGTTATTGTACTATGTTTATATGCTGGTGGTCTAGCAATGTTTTATATAATTATTTTTGCTTCAGGACAAGGATCCAAACGATAAACTCGAGGATGGTATCTACACAACCTTCGAAAGGTTGGTCCCCAGCACCAATCTCAGCTTCGTCATGAGAAACTTGCGACACTTTGCAGCTTACAACATCGAAGTGCAAGCTTGCAGAGAACGGACAGTCAATGACAGCTTGAACAATTGTTCCACAAAGAGTATGAGGACTTACAGGACTCTGCCGCTCGAGAGTGCCGACAATATTCCTGCGAATACATTTAAGTTGAGCACGATTGGGGGTAACAACAGTCTGGCCATGGTGCGCTTGCAATGGGAAGAACCTGTTAAGCCGAATGGTCTGATAGTTACTTATCAGATCGAATACAAGAGGGTGGACATTCAGAACGTAAGTAAAGATAATGATATAGTGACAGTTTAATGTTTACGCACGGTATTTATTTTTTGTTGCGTTTGATTCACTGGACTGGAAATGTTATGATCTGCGCAGATCAAGGCCACTGTCGTATGTATTACCAGAAGAGACTTCGTGAACGGTGGAAAGTCCTACCTGTTGAAGGATTTGCCACCAGGAAATTATTCCATTAAAGTCAGAGCAACTAGTCTGGCTGGCAATGGAGCTTACACGGAGGTGAAATACTTCTACATAGAGGAGTACAGTACGTCCGGGACATTTTGGATACTCTTCTGGTGCATTCTTGTATTGGTTTTGGCCATACTTGTCTGCTCTGTATTTTACGTTTGCAAGAAGAAGAACAAGAGGAATGTTCCCAACATAAGACTCATCGCCACGGTTAATCCCGAGTATGCGAGCACTGCCTATGTAGCTGACGAGTGGGAAGTACCCAGGGAGAAGATACAACTTATACGAGAATTGGGTAATGGTTCCTTTGGCATGGTCTACGAAGGTTTGGCCAAGGACGTGGTTAAAGGTAAACCAGAAGTACCATGCGCCGTGAAGACCGTCAATGAGAATGCCACGGATCGTGAACGAATAGAATTCCTGAATGAAGCCTCTGTAATGAAGTGAGTGAAACATGCGCAGTAGTGATAATACATAGACAGCCCTTTACTCTTTGCCTGAGAAAAATATTGTTGAAAATATTTACGCTCGTTAAGTATAGCTAAGAACGAACGATTACATTTAATCAATGTTGCTTTTTCTATTTCTTATTTTAGGGCTTTCAATACTCATCACGTAGTCAGATTACTAGGGGTCGTGTCACAGGGTCAACCGACCCTTGTGGTAATGGAGCTAATGGTGAATGGAGATCTCAAGACCTATCTTAGAAGTCATAGACCCGATATGTGCGAGAACTTCTCACGACAGCCACCAACTCTCAAGAGGATATTACAAATGGCCATTGAGATTGCCGACGGGATGGGATATTTGGCTGCTAAGAAATTCGTGCATCGTGATCTGGCAGCTAGAAATTGTATGGTCGCCGAAGACCTTACGGTGAAGATTGGTGATTTTGGTATGACCCGGGATATCTACGAAACGGATTACTACCGCAAAGGCACCAAGGGCCTGCTTCCTGTCAGATGGATGGCACCCGAGAGTCTTAAGGATGGTGTCTTTACAAGTTTCTCTGATGTTTGGAGTTACGGTGTAGTCCTTTGGGAAATGGTTACCCTGGCATCTCAACCTTACCAGGGTCTGTCTAATGATCAAGTAAGAAATAACATTCTGTCTATAATTTATCAGCGTTTCAACCGATGCGGAACAAGGAGTTGCCATTGACATACTGTCGATTTCGATTAGGTGTTACGTTATGTCATCGACGGCGGTGTTATGGAACGTCCAGAAAATTGTCCTGATTCTCTTTACAAACTCATGAGGCAAACCTGGAATCACAAAGCAACTAAGAGACCCACGTTCATTGACATCGCCACTATGCTCCTGTCGGAAGTGAATGTCGAGGCCTTTGAAAGGGTCAGCTTCTATCATAGTTCTGAGGGTGCCGACGCGAGACATCAGAATAATTCTCATTCGCCACATACTGACAAGTGAGTATCAGAATGTAGATACATTTTTGAATGACTGTCTAGAGTTTGAAAATAATATGTCTACGCTTTTCGTTCTAGGGACCTGGAAATTTCTACGTTACAAGACCTTCGGGAGGACGAGGGAGAGGGCGAGGAGGACTCTCCACTGCGTCAAGATTTCGGGGACTTTGCTAACTTCGAACCAACGAGTCTCAAAAATAATTCAAATTCTCGCTACGTCACGGAACCGTACGGTGAAAATTCTAAAGTCTCCAGGACCTTCCACGACCTGAACTCCTCAAAGGTGCCACTGAAGGCGGGATTTGACGATTTCGACGGTGTTTCCGGAGATTCCCTCGCATCCAGCAAAGACACCCTTAATCTACCGTTTGCCGAGGAGAGTCTAAATTCTGTTCGGAACTCTCCGTTCGCGGAAAAACGAAGTACCAGTCGTGGTAATATCAGTCAAATCTCAGTCGGTAAGTCTTTGACACCGCAGACGGGAAACAAACGTGTCTTCCTCGAGAGTCCAGGACTTTCCAGGACACGTTACGCTCCCGACTACGAGAATCACAGTCCCGAGTTCATAAACGATGAGAACAACAAGGATGCAATACCGTTGAGAATTGACTTCCCGTCGATGGAGGCCATTGACGATGACGAACCCGAGGTTAGGAAAGATATCAAAAAGGCTCAAGCTGAGTACATGAACAAACCGGAAACTCTGAACAATGGATACATAGGCGGCGCGGCAACGTAGTAGTTCTTTCTCAACCTGTGGTGTTCTATTCACGAATGAAAATCAACGATATATCTCTCGAAGTTTCGAAAACTTGGAAAAATGGATCATCCATTGATGGATCATCCATCGATCTGTCCAAACTCGAGAGCGGAAGGGGACAGCACAGGTTAGTCGGACTAAATGAACAAAATAAGGAACTTTCTTGAGATACCTTCCTGATCCTTCGATATTCGATAGGACTTAATATACCAAGTGAGGTTTTTCCCAGATACGAGCAGCGAAGGTAGACACCTATCCATTGTCATTGAATATGACAATGGCTATCGAAGTAGGATACCAACGAAACTATTCGAGGTTAAGTCGGCGAATTAGTGGTATATACTGTAGGTTTTTTTTTTTTTTAAATACATTTCATTGTGGCTCATCCTATCATAATGAACCACCAGAGTAAACCGTCTCATCCCTCACCATGGTTACGTGTTAAAGAGCGATTTTTTTAACTCTGGCACAGCAGCTGGCGCGGTTTTTTCAATTTCCTAGGCTCTTTTACAACAGCCATGGAAATTAAGCGACAACTATTTAATTCGAAAAAGTTGTACGGTGTAAATAACTATATTCATTTAAAGCAGATGAAATATTCTTCAGGCTGCTTTTCAGCGTTTCCATATGCGTACGCATGCACGGATTGATGATGTCTGAAGGGGGAAAGCTATAAAATTATTATCCTCTTTTCTTAGTCTCAAAATTTTAGTTAATTCAAATTTTGTCCACGTGGAAGGAGAGAAAAATTTATGTATTTTTTATAATATTCTTTAAGGAAAAGATTAATTTAATTGTAATTCAATCTGATCCACGGTTCTGTGGTGTAGATAAAACGGTTAAGATAATATTTTCATAATTTAATCGATATTAACGGACAATAATGATTCGACGTTATTTCTTCGCTTCTGTTATCATCATTCTGCGCACGTGTTCACCCATAGGTTAGATGAACCAGGAAGCTTAACGTCTATGATTATATATCGCAGACGGTTCAAATAGTCATACGGCGGCCACAAAGGGAATAACTTTATATTTTAACATTGCCGCGAAATTCGCATAAAAATATTGATCCATTACGAGCTCGCGACACGTGTTCATGAAACGTCGAACAAATATAAGAAAAAATATCACAGACTTCTTCACGTGTCAGACGCGCTATAAAGGAAGAACGAATGAACGAAGGAAGCAATGGAAGATTGGAAAATGGTTTATATTGGAAAAAAAAGTCAAGGAAATAATTCATAGTTGAAAAAAGATAAGAAAAAAAAGTGACTTGAGAATTTGTCTTCTGTGTTCCGACTGATTGAATATACACAAAAAGATATATGAAACTGGTCCACAAAAGCCCTATTGACATTAGCTCAGAGAATGAAAAAAAAAGAAAAAAAAAAAATTGAATTCTGCTTAACTATTACTTACCATTTTCTACAGATTTTCGTGACCACGTCGATATCGCGTTGAACTCTTGATTGTAACGAGGTATCCGTTATCTCGTGATTCGAGGCGTAGCTCGCAATATACACGCGGTTAGCGAACGATCGATAAGAAAAAAAAAAAAGAAAAAAATAAAAAAAATAAAATTGCGACCTACGACGAGACGCGATCTCGCAAGTCTGACAGAACAAAAGTAAAGCGATTAAAAAAAAAGTTGAATATATTTAAAAAAAAATATATATACAAGCTGAAGAGAGAATGTAGACTGTCTTAGCCCAGTGAGAGCCAAGAGTGACGACCGAGTGGAAATAGAAATGAAAAAGATGAAGTTATGCGTAGAAGACGAACGATATGCAGCAAGCAAATGGAAAAAGAAAAACTAGAAAAGGGTTTTGAAGGTCGGCGACAAAAAACTAAAAATCCACGTAACACCGAATAAATCCGGTATTGCGAATGCATAAGAGACGAAGGTAAATAACAAGAGAAAATGAGAAGTTGGAGAAACAAATAATTTTTCAGACGGCTGGAAGCAAAAGAGATGTACAGGTGACAAATTTTGCAACGATCTGGGAGAAGAAAAAAATTTTTTTTTTCATCGACCCCAGCGCAGTTTGGAAAAAAAAATCATGTCGAACAACGAGACAGAAATAACAGAAGGAACGAAAAGGAGGTGCAGTAAGGACTGCAAGGAATAAAAAAAAAAAGAATGAAAATTATGAGAAATAGCAGCGCGACACGTACGTGAACGAAGTTACGATTTATTCGCAGATAACGGATGGTTTATATAAGAGTTTGCGCAATACAGTTTGAAAACTAGACATAACGAGCCTCAAATACAAGACTGATTAGCTAATCCTACCCCTACAAGACCTTAGCCTATTACCCTAGCACCCTCGAATAAAGAATTAACAAAAAAAAAAGATATCCTTATAGAAGGTCCCTTTATGAAATACCTATATCACCCATTATTATATAAGCCCGTATAAATCTCCCGGTTAAATTAACGCGCGATTACATATGGCAAGAAGCGAGCACACGACTGATAATGAAATAATTTTACCGAATCAAGATAAAACCGATACTGGGGGAACTTTAAACGAGACAGATAGAAAGCTGAATAATTAGTTTAAATCAGTTACTACGTTCATCGCTGTAATTGCTGCGATATGTAATACAAGCATTATGAATAATGAGCAAGTGTTGGTAGAAGTTCCAGATTTTTTTTATATATAAATTTATATTTATATATATATATATATATATACCTAAATATATATATATAATTCACACACAGTCTCACCACCTACTCTCTCACGCCAGGCCATTTATTACTAATATCATAAATGTAATTATTATTATTATTATTATTATTATTATTATTATCATTATCATCAGCGTTTCTATTACTACTACGATTAATGAATTATTATTAATTATTTACTATTTACTATCATTTACCGTATACCGTTAATGTTTATCGATTTGTGATGTACCTTTCTTCATGAATTCTCTCTCTTCCCCTCTCTCCTTCTCTTTCTCTTTTCTTTCTCTCATTGCCTCGCACCTTATGTCTTTGTAACTTTTTTTTTTTGTTACTCCATCTTCATTCCCCTGTACTTTGTTTTTTTTGTTCTTCCATTTTCTCCCACGTCACACAGAGGGGACACGCAAACGCATTTACACTCGTCCAAGCAGTCACGAATATGTATTCGCTTTATCGTGTAATTTAAATCTTTGAAATGTTCTTTTGGACGGTACGAGCGGCGACCTAATTAATGAAATTAAGGAAGGACGACGAATCGAGGGAGGAGTTAATAGGACGAAAAAATTTGTAAACGTAAAAAAGGAGTGACGTTTTACAGAAAGCGTAATAGCTATTAGACGTATTCCGTGAGTAAAGAAAAGACGCCATTAGCAAGATAAACAATAATGAAAACAGTACCTACTTTATTTGTAACCCTTTTACAAAGGATTGTCAATGATGAATGTTAATGAATGTGTGTGAGTACGCGCGCTCTTTGTCCTGTATGTAAGCATGTACGTCGTATCGTTTATGCGAATCTGCATTGCTGAGGGACGCCTGTAATACGGTGGTTAGGCAGCTCGAAGGTACCGCCTGAAGTTGGCTGCTTACCATAGATATCAAACGGACGAGTGGCTAACTTCAGGTGGATGCGTTCGAGCTGCCCTCTAGGCCCCTATATACAAAGATGTGTCTACCGTTGACGAGACGCAATTAAATTACGTATATCCGTAAGTGCAGAGAGACATGAGGAAAAGAATAATAAAAAGAAATATAACGAGAAATTTCCATTAAAAGAAAATAACGTGACCGAAGAACAAGTGAAATGACACACGTGATGTTTTTTTTTATAAAGTCAAAATCGTTTGCACGACCAATATTTTTTCCCCGTACCCCTTTCGTCTGTCGTGCAGAAACTTGTAGAAAGAAAAAGAGGAGAGATCGAAAAGGAAAGGGGGATGCACTATTTGCGAAATGAAAAAAAAAATAAGAGAGAAAAAATGAAGAAAAAAAAAGATACCTCGCTTGTATTTCACACGCAAAAGTATTTCGAAGCGAAATTGTCCATTACGTAAATTTCATAGACTACCATATAACAATTGCGGATTATACACTTAGGATCCTGTATGTAACGAAAGTTAGGCTAAATCTAGGCAATTTATTCAGACTATGTTTCGTATAGTCGATTCACGATAACTCGGTATCAATCACGGGGGACTACTTTTACGCGCTACGCCGTAAGGAGATGTCCCCTGAAAGTGTAGCTCGATCACGCGGCTTTATAATTTATGAAAAATCATCCGTTTTGATTTTTTTACTATTTTTTTTTTGTTTGGATTGCAGCCTTCCACTCACAGCTCTTAACCATTTCTTCTGGCTGTCGCTCCCTCGGCCTATTACGCTACTGAGAATTTCTCGATTTTCATGTAGTTTTTTTTTTTTTTTATTATTAACGCTCGTCGTTTCGATTTTTTTTGTATTTATTAAATCACACAACAGACTGTTCACAACTGTCCGCTGAATTAAAAATAATCAGGCAGCTCCTTCAGCCATTTGTTTTTGTCACCGTACATGTACACGAGTAACGTACGCGCACGGTCGCACGCAACTACGTACGTTGTTAGAAAGAAAAAAAAAAAGGCGATAACGTACATCAAAGGCGAAAACGCACCTAAGACAAATCTCGTACTGTATAATGTAAATAATTAACTGTTGATCGTCCGAAAAAAAAAAGATAATTAGAAACGTGAGCGATTACGCGTATATATATATGTACGCTATACATAGACCTGTATATACGTACGAGTGATAAGGTTAGTGGCTGTATATATGTATACACGTATGGGCCATATGTACGTAGCAAGTGGATGATGCGAAAAGCGATAAATCTTTTTTTGACTCTTTTTCTCGTTAACGGCAAAAAAACGAGAGAAAGGTGCGAAGAGAAAAATTTAGAAAAAATGGAACATCCTTTAAAGCGTACCCCAAGTATCTTAATAATTAATGAAAAAAAAACGATGGAATAAATCGTAATTAGATATTGATCACGATCGTGGTACAAGAGAGCGTATACTTATCGTGTATTGACATTTTCGAAGAATCGTATTTTGGAATTTAAAAGAAAAAAGAAAATCTAGTGAAATACATCTCGTGGAAAAAAAAGAAGAAAGAATCGTGTATCGATATCTTCGTTATCGTGATCATCAATGTCATTATCATTGTCGTCATCAGCATCAGCAGCATTTCGTCATTGAGTCATTATTTGCATATATCCTATTATGCAGCTGTATATATCGTATCCTCGAGTATACGATAAAATGGGTAATCCCCTATTTTTACGAGAAAAAAAAAAATAGAGCAACATTGCAAGTTTCGCGATCGTAGGCCCGGGATTGGTCTAGGAGAAGAAAAGGATAAAGGATGTACTGCATTAGTATATACGGACTTAGATATAATCTCTGATTGTAATTGTAAAGAAAAGAAAAGAAAAAAAAATAGAGACCGGTTGCCAGGACGAATTGCGGACTTATTTTTTATTAACAGACGCTCGGGCGGCGTACCTCAACCTTTTCTCTCTCTTTCTCTCTTTCGTCCTGTTATCGGTGCTTATTAATATCCAATTATGATTACATCTTACTACTATGGTTATACATTATTACGCTGTACGCAAAGAAGAAAAATTTTATTTACCAAATACCAATTTTTAATAAAAAGCTTTTTGTGAAAGAATTACATATTTGCTATCGATGCGTCTTCCATATTTTGGTACCTCCGTGTAGTAGTAGTACGGGGACTAGTAGTGCGACAAAGTGCGAACAGAGGACGCGAGAGTCAGCGGAATTTTGATACTGCCCTATTTTAAATTTTGTTGTACCTTTGTAAAACAATTGGTAGACAAAATATCGAAGGACTGCGTGCAATTGTGCAACAATATTTTGTTGTACATTAGCGGGGGTTTGAAAATGACAGCAAACGTGACAATGGCGTAATTACGTTTCATTGGGAGCAACCGCACGTGCTGTTACATTTCGCCGGAACTCCGATAGATGGCAGCAGCAGCAGTGCTTTACTTTCTCTTGAAATTGAATCTATAGTGTCGATGTATATCTGTAAATTATCTTCCATAATAGGAGCTATTACGTTATTATTTTAGTTTCATGCACGAATTAGCACAGAATGAGGAAAAATAAAAGTTAAACGGAAGAACCACGCGCAGTTTTAATATTAACAAATAAATAGTTACGTGTCTGCTTAATCGTATTACTTCATAAAAGTATTAGTTCTTGTACGAACATTCGATAATGCGTGAACGAAAAAAAAAAGTGAAAAAAAAATAAAGGAGACACTTTTCCTGTCATTCAATTACGAAATTGGCCGTTGTGAAGTAAATCCTAGATAATGGCACGTGAATTCTTTTGTTTCGCAAATTCCATTTGTCTCTCCGCCTTCTTTAATTACAATGACGTATCGCATACGTAAGAAACAATAGTTATTTTCGTGTAATTCTTGTTCCCACATTCCTTTCACCGACCCCCTCATCCCTTGGCTAACACCTAACCTATACCGACAACGTGACACGAAGATTCGGGCCGCCACTTGCCGGACTTCTGAACACTCTGAAGTGCAGTCAGCTAGCAATTACTTGACCAACGGGTGCAAGGTGAACTGTACCGGGGCCAACGTCAACTCCCGAAGGGCAAAAGATACGTGGCGCATCGTGCGGTAACGTGAGAACCAGGGCCCCCAATGCATGATGCACGGGACTGTCGAATGCACTGCTAGCCAGGAGGCCCGAAATACCCCACTCAAGAATCAGGGTACCGTTATCACCTGTTCTTTCAGGCCTCTCCCGGTTTGCCTACCTACCTACCTGTTACTCTCATCTGCCATCATCTTCATCGCCAACTCTTTTCCAGCATCCGCCGTTACAGTACGATATATGTGTAGGCTGAGGCAAAGACCTTTGATGTCTATCCCCTTCGGGCTATTGTATTTAAATAAACATTTACCTACCCACCTACCTGTTACTCTCATCGGGCACCATCCTCGTCGCCAACTCTTTTTCAGCCTTCGACGTTACCATCTGATCTTCGAACGGGTTATAGGAAAATTTTTTACCATTGTCTACCATCAGCTATTATATTTGAAAAAAAATTTCTATTTGCATGTAACCATTCTGATGACCTGGTGCTGAGTGCCATCATCCACACAGGACTTTCCAATCGGCTCTTCTGCGAGAACTCGAGCTGGGATGTCGCAGGTCGTCTTGAAAAATGCAAGAGGGAAAAAGAGAAATGGAGATACGGATGAGGCTTGGAGAAATAAAAAAATGTGAGAATACCGAGGAAAGGTGACTTACGCCAACCGGGAGATACCGGCATCCTCGACGCTAAGTCTGGCCTCTTTTTCATCCTCGTGCCGGCACCGAGCTCTCCCTCGTCTCCTTGATGATGATAATCGTGAGATCGACCGCATAGTTCGCACTACGTTCTTAAAGTCTTTTCAAGCTGATTGGTTTACGTGCGCCTCATGCTCCTTTCGTTGCTCATGTAGAAGAGACAAAAAAAATTTGCTTCGACGAAAGTCGCCAATACGCGGCACGTCGGTGCTTGCTGCTCGGGTAATGCAGACTATGTTTTTCAAATGGTGCTCTAGCAAATTCTAACCTTAACCCCGCCGCCTTACCAACTATCCCATAATTGTCGTATAAACTTGACTGACGTCCCGCCGCGGAGCCATTAGTCTCACGTCAAAAAATTAACGTTGCGTGCCGAAACGGATACCCTTGTTACTGTTTTACTCAGTTTTCCTGGACAACATTTTCTTGAATCTATACACACGTCATGTTACATAACACCTTCAGTCAGGGCTACTCATGCTCATTATTAGCTCCTTGTGCAGTGAACGCCGAAAGAGAGGTTAAAATTGCCAACAGTGTAGCCTCGCGTTCCGGCAACCCAGATCTTCGCGATATGTACCGTTAAAGACAGTCTGAAAACAAGAAGACGGTCAAGTAAGAATGAACGGACCGGGCTACTTCGTGGAAAATGGCGAATTGTTAGAGAAAACGAGATTCCTCATAATTGACTGTAGTTTCTTGTGTATCTTTTCCCTTTTTTTTTTGCTTAATATCCTCTGCACTACAAGGCGAAGGAGAGAGGGAGGATAATGGGTATGGAAAGTCTACTGGATATGGGACAGTCGGAGAATGTAGAGGATCTCTTCTAGGTAAGGTCTAGCCATATGCATGCATATACATTATACACTTTATACAGATACCAATGTGTCTATAGTCTGCTCAGTTTGACTGTGGTGATGTGGTAATTCTACTGGTAGTGGCGACTGACTAGAGTGTTTGTAATCAAAGGTATGGATGAAGAAAGGCAACCCAGTGAAGTCGAGGCAGTCCGGCACGGCCCGTCGAACTGAAAGCACCTCCATTTTTATTTTCCCGGTATAAACGTGACACGTGAAATATCACGGGAGACCGTTTTTGAGGTTGGACGTCTCTTGATTCGGGAGGTTATTTTATAAACAATTGCCGTTCCTTGTGCTCGCGACATCTGAGGGCGTACGTGTGCACGAGGTAGTCGTAGTTCCTCCCTTGGACGCATGAACATTAGGACCGGGAAAACTTGAAAATTATTTTCGGCAACTTTGTACCATCAGCGGTGAGTGATTATTTTACTACTGTATTTTACTGTATTATGATTTTGATAAAGCAATATTACATCGGGACGGTCGCTGACTTTTCAGTTGCGTAATGTTTATTTCCGGAGATTCACGTTACTAACGAGAAATTTTCTGTTACGTGCAATAACATTATTGATAGGCATTTTTTCTCGTTTTTATTTCTAGTTACTATTCGTTCTCTTGAAACTTTCTAGAAATGAATTCATGATTTTTTGGTGTTACAACGTCGCGTGGATACGTAATTGTCATTGTCAATTTGCAGGGTTTTCGATAGTGACCTAGTGTTAAGTTGAAAAATGTTAGAATCTCTTGCGGATAAGAAGGAATTCATCGGGAGACTCCCATTTCCATTAATTAACAGAAAATATGTGGTAAACCAGTTTGCTTCGAGAGACGCTTCGAAAGCCGATAGCATTTCGCCATTTTTTATTCACCTTCTCAAACGTCCTGTCTCCTTTTCTCTATCTTGTCGACTCGCACATTTTATACCTGCAAGTGCAGTGGCTACCACTTTACGTTACCCTAGTGATTTTCTAACTGGAAGCTATTGCGATCGGTTGTACCTTACTATGAATTTCTGATATCCCTAGATGGACTCCCACGGTAAATTGTATTCCAATTAACGGCGGTAATTAAATCTACGGCAAATGGGGAGGAAGTGTAAAGAAAAAAATTAAACTATCGCTCTGGAAATTACAAATTATCGAGATATTACGCAATCGATTATTGTGATTCGTCTCTATCGCCGTATTATTAGGGGGACTCTGGACCTCGCATTACCATGTCAGTCAAATGTCAACGAATATCGCAAATAACAGGTTTTTGACAGATTTTTTCCCGAAGCGTAGTTCAGCGCACATTGTGCAAGGCCCTCGATTATTTTGACGCTATTTTCGCGATAATTAACTGAAAACTGAAAGAGTAATCCGACCCAAAAATTTGTATGTGAGTTTGAATGCGAAAAATTTTGAATCGGTCTAGTTTTTCAGTTTTTCATTAATAATTGCGCAAATGGTAAAATAATTCTCAACCATGCAGAATATGCTCTGATTTCCGCTTTGGGAAAGAAAAGTCTCTTATAATATTGTTATTTACGATTTTTCATTGAAACTTTACTCGTACTGTAAATAAGAGGTCTAGTAATAAATCTTGAATACTTCCGCAATTCTTGGCATAATATACAAAGTGATATTTGCGAGGGCACAGAATGCGCGCCGGCACACTGTCAAACGCTCCGAAGCGTGTCAGAGAGTGCATATTACCAGTTGCATAAGAGCTGCATTGTGAGTGCCGGCCGATGTCTGGGAAAATGTTGAATTCCGTGAGCCCACATATTTAATTCTCTCTTTTTTTTTCCAAAGGTATCGGTCATTGCCGTTTTACTCGCTCAGTCAAGTTGCATGAATAATTTCCTGTACAGTTGCTGTAGTATCCGTTACAGAATAGGATCAGTTGGGGGTAAGCTGCTTTTTTTCTCTTTTTGTCAGGAAAGGATATCCTATAAGGATCCTCGTTGCGCTTATGAGGCTGCAGCATGGGAGCGCTGCTCTTTTTGAAAAATGTTAAAAATAGAAACTCGAGAGTCGCCATATGGTTACTAAGGGAGGATATCCCTTTTTTTTATATTACATTCTAGACTAAACTTTCCACCTACGGATATTTTAACACTTTTCTGTTTCCTTGTTTGAAACGGGATCCTAGGTATTTTTTCGACTCTTCAAACAGACGGAATCTCTCTGTAGGATTTGTGCAAGGATGATCCTTGTCATGCAGGTGTAACTAACTGGTTCTCTGATGTTAAGAATTCTATATTTGGGATGCTGGTTTCGAAGTGAGTCATTTCGACAGTGTCTCCCTCTTTCGTAGTACGAAGTATGGACTGTATCGTCTGTGGGCCTGTCGGGGCCTTACAGCGCCTTCTCTAGACTCGGATTAACCTCCTACCCTAGATTGAAACACGTTGCAGTCCAATCGAACCAGTATGCGTATCGGATGATGAAGCTCTTGCAAGAAGCGGGAGAAAAATAATTTGTCCGAAAACTAGGTAAATTTTCTTTAGTTTGGGATCCACAAGGATTCAACGCGTATGGCCCATTATTTCGCTGTTTACAAAAGGTTCTAACGAGTCATAACAATAGAATGTAGGTTGATATTTGAGAGAGGGCTACAGGCTAGAATCAAGTGTCAAGTCTAGTGAGTTAATTGCCATTCTGGGGCCCAATTGGGTCCCATTGAAATGTAAACTGACTGCGAGGACCTTATTCTCACTCTTATACTCTCCTGTGTGGCATATCGACGAGAGCAGCGTTTCACAATCTCTTTCTCTTACCATGTACGAAAGATTTATACATATACGTATGGTACACGTTGAGATATTGGGCCCAAGGAATACGCATGGGGCCGCGAGAATGTGGGCCCGCGGCTACAAATTCCGTTAGCAGCCGAGGCACTTGTACGGCTCTTTTAGCTCTTACTTATACTTGCTGACTACAGTCTGACCGTGACGAAAATTTTCCCGGTCCATGGCCTGACCGACGATCGACCGAGTTCAACCGTCAGCCGACAGATGGCGCTCGCTCTCCGGCAATAACGTTACGCCGTAACGTAGCGCGCGGCATAATCGACGAACGAGGAAAAAGAACATAACCGCAAAGAAAAATCAATGGGACGATTAACCTTCGATCGTGGGACGATTCCCCATGATAATGACCTCCGGGGTCAATCGACTTTCTACTCCATGGTATATTGAGCGGTTCAAAGGTACTGCGTACGATTCAAATGGTATTTACGCTTTCACGAACTGGTCTCGCGGAGAAAACGTTGTTTACTTGCACTTTTCCAATGATTTCCAACTCAGGTCGATTAGAATAATCAGAGACAGTGGACGTGTAATTATTCATGTCTGTTGAACTCGGGAAAATATTAAAATTGAAATGACAGTTGCCATTAGACGGTACAGTAACTTTAGAAACTAGTTTACGTTTTGAGTACTCAATCTTATTTTATCAGTTCATTGATATTCTGCTTGTTTTAATTCTGTGTGAATATCCTATGTTGGAATTATTTAAATTCCTTTTTGAGAAAATTGGTACAAGAATCGGACGTCAACCTTACGTGCATACAAGTCAGTCAAGGTCCGGCGCCCGACTGACACGTACTTCCCCATTTCAATGCTAATACGTTTACATCCCAGAACATAAGTGGGAGTAACCACGTGGTTTGAGTTAGGTCAGGATCCACGTGCCCGGCATGTGTATGTTACTCAACTAGCACCTGAAATAATTTTAATGACCGTAATACACGGAGCACTCTGCGTATGTCAAAATAATGAAGTACTTGTGTGTTAGTTTCCCTTGGCTATTCTCTGACAGAATTTCACACGCGTTAATAATACATATGCTACCAGTAAGAAAAATATATTTATATTGCCAGCGAATGTAGTATCAAGTGATTCGTATTTGTCGTTCCGACTAACTGTTGTTTTATTATAATATTGCCAGTATGACAATACATTTTAAAAATATATAGACATATCGCATCTTATCTCCTGAAAATAATTACAATATTTACAATATTTTTCAGGTTCCATAAGTCATGATGAAGATTCATTGAACCCGACAGCCTCTGAAAAAGACGATGGAGGTCCTACAAAATGTTGAGGATTTCGTGACTGTGGTCAGTGTTGAACCAGAGAATTTCGTCACCGTTCTCTCAATTGGCGAACGCAAGAAGGATGTCGAAGATAAAGGTCAGGAGCACCTCGAGGAAGAGGTCGAGGTATTTAGACTTCCTGGCGAACGCTTGGGATTTGGATTGAAGTTTGAGGGTGGCAACAAAACCACTGAGAGGGTCAGAAGGTTGTTTGTTCAGAGTTGTGCCGAACAGAGTCCCGCCAGCCGTGCCAAATGTTCCTGGGGAAGTTTGGGAGAGGGTGATGAGGTTCGTATGAAAAATTACTAATTATCCAATTGATGTAATAAAATTGTTATAATTGCTATGGAATATTCATTTTTAATTTTAATTAATCAGTATATCATCTTTTTTTCAGATTCTATCTATAGACGGCGTCCCAGTCAGTCATATGACTCGTCTGGAGTGCGTGCGAAGATTGAAAGAGTCCCAATTGGTCATTAAACTGGTAGTGCGTTGTAGAGGAGCCTTAAGGCCAGAAGTGGTGAGCGCCGAGCGGAAGTGTTCTCCGGATAAGATTAAAGTACCACCGGAATTACCATCTGTACCACCACCGGTTCCTCCACGAAAACTTAGACAACCAAGAGGATCCGCAGACGGCGAAGCTAATCCAAGTCCTGCGAAAAAGTCCTGGGACAGTCCGAAATCTGTCAGCAGTACATCATCCGGTAGTTCACCGCAATCCCAAAATGGTTATCAAACCGCTAGCAAGTCCACGTCTTACGAAAGCTGTAATTCCTCGCCGAAGAATTTGGGAGCAACCCCAAATGAGAATGCAAAGAATTCACTAAAACAGGACTCGCCCGATCTGAACAAGTCCAAGCGGGTAACACTTTCATTTTCAGGACTGTTATTAGTCGTAACGGCAGACCGTAGATGATTGCCCCATCATTATACAGAATTGTACTTAACCGTTTGGGGCTTTCACTCTGGTGCTCGATTAATGGAAACGAATTTTTTTCTCCTCTCTGATTCTCTAAACTGTTTGGTATTTAGGTAACATGAAGTTTTGGTAATGAAAAATTCCTTTCGATGTATCTCAACTGACAGCCTTAAATGATGAACTCGTTAGCCACACAAAAGAAAACTTTTATTAAGTCCAAATATAGTGACCGGACGCGTCATAATGGGGAAAAAAAAAGAAAAAATCAACTTTCTAATCATTACCGTAGTTATAAAAAGTAATTTTTTTTATCTTTCAGGAACCCCCAGAAGCAATGGTCTACTTGGATGCTAGATCACAAGACGGATCCAGCACTCACGGAAGCACATCAGACGATACCGGAAGTTCAATGTCAACGGTCGTCGATAGATTTTCCACATCCGATAGATTCTCTACGTCGGACAAATTTTCCACGGTATCTACGAATTCATCAGCATCAACCATATCGGATCCATCGAAAATGGAGTCTGTCGAGAAAGTCTCGAACAAGGATGTCATTGATCAAACGTCCGACGATCTGTCAAGAATTCTGGAACCTTTCGAGTTATCATCGAATCATCAAGACTACCTGCTGACTAGATTAGCCAATTCCGAGGCCGTCACTTACGTGGAGTCGTTGGGCGATAGTGGAGTAGAAAGAGTGACTGCTGTCGTGGCTCCAAATACGATTTTAATTGAAGAAACGATCACGCTCCAGCCACCATTAAGCTTTCAAGACGCTCCATTGAGTTACGGACATGAGACACGTCCAGGATTATTGTATACTGACTTGGCCGCTGATTCGGCGACACATTTTAGACCGATTAAGGATGACGCCGCCATTGTCGAGTGCGTTAATGGCGACAGTAATGATAAAAACGACATAGAAAATGTTAGCAAGGCTCCACCACCTTTACCCGCGAGGAATCATGTCAACAGGATTAACGTCAATCAAGATTCTGCTAATGTCATAGAGAATATCGATGCTCCGGTGCTGCCACCTAAACCATTGCCTAGAAAAGATATAAAAGTCAAAAGGAAGAGACCACCGCCGCCGCCGCCACCACCTCCAAAAGTTTCTAAAAGAGATGTATGTCCTCTGCCACAGGATAATTTGTCAGGTACACATGACGAGTCCACAATGAAGGCGGACGACGATCTGGAAAGCGTCGAGACGCTTACTGGTGAATGTCCTGAAAGGATAGCAAGGATCGAAGTGGATTCCAAAGATCCTGCCAATGAGAAAGTTGATATTGATGGAGAAAGTGTATTGGAATCCGACGATCTCGAGGGGACAAGACATGGTAATTTTAATGTATGCACCGATACCTCATGTGGGAATGATCCTGAAAGTCCTGTCAAGCATGAATTGATCTTCCGGGAACAGGAAGCCGAGAAAGACATTCCTGAGGTGACGACAACCAATAAAATGTTGGAAATAATAGAGATGAAGAAGGTTAAAGCTATTCATGAGTTGTCACCTCAGAAACAGCCCATAAGGATAACTCAGTACGAAGTGAGTATTCCCACAGACAGCGTACCTCCTGAAAATGAAAATATTCAAACAGAACACGAGACAACGGAAACAAAGGATCTTCAAAGAATGGATACAATGTCTTTGGAAATGGAGGATCTTCCGGAAGATTCCGTAAATCCATCAATCGATAATTTGGATACTTCAATAAGTAAATCCACAGAAATTGTACAGGAAAAGGAAGAAGAAATGTCTGTGCAAGTAACAAATTTCGCAACATCCACAAATGAGGAATTTAATAAAGAAAATTGTCAAAAGGATCTCGAGGACGAAGAGACCTATCGCTCTTTGGACGAAGTTAAGGACGACCTTAAGTCATCGGAGGTTAAAGGGATTCACAAGGACCCAGAATCACCGGACGACGACGAAGACACGAGCGACGATAGCGAGGACGACGACGACTATTATTGGCAAAGTAATTTAGCAACAATTGGCGAAGAAGAGGAGACAAATTCGTTGGAATACACGCACGCGTGAGTGCAAAACAAATCTAATGACAAACCTATCTCCAACCCATAGCAAATGTTACCACCATAACGAAAGGTTAATTGGTATCGCAGTGAAAGAAACGAAGAAAAAAGAAACAGAGTAACACGCGAACGAGACTAGAATAACAAAAGAAAAACAGAATACAAGTATACCAGAGAATGGCGCTGATCATCGCGATATTTCGGTTCGAAATTTATTCTAACTAGCCGGTTTATGGATTAATTAAGCTAATTCGCTCCTTTATCCCCGTTTGCTTTCCGCGAAACAATTAATTCTCTGAAATCGTGACGATCTCATACTCCAGGTGATTTTCTCTCGTTGCAGCAGCGACAAGACCACGGGCGAACCCGATTGTGAAAAACAGAAGCCGATCGAGCCGAAGGAGTCCAACGCCATTGACGCCACTGCTGCGGCTACGACGACCGGTGAGTTTACTCCTTGCTTTAATTTTATTTCCTTCTAACATGCAACGCTATATAATAACCGGCAGGTACGCAGTGTCTATATATAATAAACTATATATACGTGACAGACCGCACACGATGAACTCCCAGTCTTCATAAAGGTTACGCATTAATCCCAGCTGCGTTACGAGGTCTCTCAGGTTTCGTGGCGGCCAACGGAAATACAGAATGGAATAGAAGTACGTACGGTATAAGAAATGCCATGGGAGAAATGCAAGCGAATTGCAAGACAAAGGCGTGCACTTGGCACGCCTACTTGAAACTAGAATTCTCAACGTTTCATCCCACTCCACGTTAGTTAGTACTTAGTTAGTTGGTTAGATTGGAAAGGTGCAGTCTTTCGTATGGCATACGTGTTTAACGTCGGTCCAATATCCTTTGTCACTCTGACATACACTCTATATTTAGATATTACAGTGATACACAATGTCGGAATTATTGAGAAAGCCATTTGAGTCATTCCGAACTGTTCCTTCTCTGTCCCCTGGACACTGAGACTCTTTACTTCTTTCTTTCTCCTTCACGCCGAGTGGGCTTACGATCTTTCACGAGTCTCCACGATTAACATTCGTATTCCAAGTATAGCCGAGATTTATTCTCGAGTCCCGGTAAAGCATCTGGTGTCAGGGTGTAGGTGGAGTCTCTCGTGGGTCCCTGGGTTACTGCGAGACTCCGGGTAGCCACAACAATATGGCGCGTAGCACCAAAGTCTCGCAAGTCTCCACAGGCAAGATAGTCTCGCGGCTCTCGGAGGTGCTTGCCGTTGCTCAAAGTGCAGCCACAGCACAGCCACAGCATTGCCATGGAGCTCACCAGTGGCTGACCGCTCTCAAGGTCCCATTCCCCCTTAATCGCCTTCCTTTTCGAGATCTTTCACTCTGTTCACTCCCAATCGAACCGACCGCAATACCTGCCTCCTTTATACCTATATACGTATATATATACATACGTATATATATATATATATCTATATACTAAATATATAAAGGTATACGTATAGCGTAACCACGAGAAGAAACAGCATTCCACTGCGCTAGAACCGCGCGGCCACCACTCTCTGTGTCTATCCTGAAGTATACTGACCTAAAGATGTGTCTAGCCCACGGGCCCGATTCCTTAATTCGTCAACTAATAACGTTACGAAATCTTCGGGCAGAAACGCGGTACGAAGAGGAGCGTTCGATGTGGCTCGTGAAAAAAAAGATGTTATTGAAATTTTATTCTGAAATTTTTATTTTTTTTTTCTCGAAAATATCCTACCCAGAGAGAGTAGAGTTTTAATGGATTTCGAGTGAACGGGGTTTCGTTTTTTTTTTCACGTATCAGCGACGACTGTCCTTTGGTGGAATTCGCGCAATGTCGCGGGGTCGTTGCGAATTACGATACTCAAATGTATGGGCCAAGCATGGCCGTTTCGAATTGTCCTTTGGTATTCAAAATGGTGAATCTTTAACGGTCGTCGTACCGTGACTCGATCGTAACTGCATTATTCGAAGTATAGCTATGAATCATTGTGATTGCGAGTATACTTTTGTAAAGATTACAGAGAGGAAGATACGCGAACGAAATGAAAAGAGAGTTACGATGAAGGAGGAACGAGGAGAGAGACGAGGCTCTCTGCTGATTTTCAACTCGAAATCGTGTTATTCACGGTGAGGTCATAAAATTCGGTAACAGCTCGGAGCAAGGGAATATCCAAGTGGCGAATATCAAATTTTCATCACGTTTCACGGAGACTCGTATCTTTCGTGAATCCCTAATGGGAATTCGCGTATAGCGGTAAACCGAAAACGTTACGTGCAACACAATAATATCCGATGTGCTCAGAGATCGATTTCAATGCTCCGAAGCACGTTGGAGAACGACTGATTGTGTAAGCGGAGTATGGGGGGAAAAAAAGAAAAAGAAAAAAAAGAAAAAAGTAAGAAAAAACATTGCCGAAAAATTACGGCAATTTCGTATTTTTACGACGATCGTTTTCGAAGCCGGTACACGCGGTTTTGATATTTTCGTAGAAAAGGAAGAGAAACGAAATTCAAGAGACCCGCCAGACTCTTCCTACTAACCCTGCTAAGCATTCTGCTTTTTTTTTTCTTTTTTCTTAATGGCTACTTCAGACCGTGGCGAAATCTTTTTTAGTGGTTTCCCAGCCTTCTGTGACGCATCAACAACTATATATATATATATATATATATATATATATATATATATATATATATATATATATATATATATATATATATATATATATATATATATATATGCTTGTAGACTGATTAATTTAATTTAAAGAAATCTTTATTCCTGACCGGTCCCGATAAGTCAGACCCCATGCTATTTATTTTCCGGTCTCCTGCCTACGTGCTACCCGATACGACAGTCGCTCTTTGCATTGTTGTCATGCCGATCGTTGTGACGATTGTCGTCATGAGAGACGGCCTTAACTCTTTGCCCAGATGTGAGATGGTTACACTTGATTAGGCAGAGAGTATGCGGACGAACGAAAACTGCGGTTGACTGCGATCACCAAGATATCCTCTTTCGGACGATCCTCCGCGCTATTGTCACGGGGTCCACATTGCGATTGGGTCCAGCAGTTAAGGCGCGTATACACTGGATCTCAAAAGTTAGTTAGGTAAATGGAGGTAAGAAATGGGTATAACTCTTGAGCGTGAATTCCTGTAATTTATGGTCGAACGATGGTTGAACATTTTTTTTCTTCTTCGTATGATTGACAGACGATTTCTTAATGATTATAACGATGCGCAAGCAGGTAGCGTGGTTGGCGTTCGAAAATAGCGAGGACACGAACCTTCGTGGTTCTGATCTCGACTAGGTCCCCCGATATTTTTTTGCTAATTTACATTTTTTTTCTTCATTTTCATCCAAACCAATGAGTCAAGGGGTACGTTCGAGAGTTATGACAAAGACACTGTGGATACCTAAGGCCCCGCACAGCGTGTAGACCGGTAAAGAAGCAAGATCATTGGTGGAAAGGGTACCGGAGATGTCCCGCAGGCTGAAAACGTTCGCCAGTCTCAGTTCGTCGCTCGAAGTCAAAACGTATCGAAACTCCTTGGCGCGCTTTCACAATTTCGAGTTCATTTTATCTTTCCTCGTACTTCCCTCGCTCACGTGACGTACACGGTAAAGCTTGACTATTAGTTTCCCCGCGTTAGCTCGAGACAGTTATTAAATTAAGAATCGCATCGAAAATACCCGTTGACAACTATTGACCTTCGTCCTCCTCGGTGGTGTCCCGTGATAACCGTGGAAATCGTATATCGGCGCTCGAGGGCAAACCGGCCAAAGATTCATCGTTGACCAAGGTAAGAGAATTCGAACGAATTGAAAAAAAAAAAAATTTCGACACAACCACGCAGATCATTGCTCACTCGAAATTCCACCTAGTAATCGATCGTAGTCGTTTGTTTATTTTACAGTTGGAATTTTGCTTGTACAATTGCTCGAAGCTGAACGATATATAAAACTGACGAAGCACCATCGTCCGCGTATTGAATTAACGTTATATCGAGCTTCGGTGTTTGTATTTAACCGTGAAGAAGTTAAAAAGGAATAATACATTAGCGCGGGACACGTGATGTTTTTTTTTCTTCAAATTTCAACCGACTGTATCGGAATGCCAAGTGGTATTGTATGTCGTACATGGTGTAGCACCTCTATGTACTACATTATATGTACAATAGCATATACACGTATATTCGTCTACCAGAGGCAGCTGCCACTGCAGATGGGTCACACCTGCCCAAAAATGTTTGCCGATCACTCGTGCGTGTCTCCCATGCGTAGTACCAACTTGGCTGCACTAAACTATACTTACTCTACTGGCCGCGTCCTCCTTGTCCTCGCCCACGTATCCTTCGATGTAAATGCAATCGCTGGTCAATTGTCCTTACGACCAACAGCCGTCCCCCCCGCCGATTGCTTACTCGATCGCGCCGCCACCATAGAAATGCGTACCGAGACTTCTCTGGTACACTTCCCGGTCACTATTTTACCACTCGGCAAAGGCTTTTGTTCCTTTCCCGTCGATTGCGTCATGACCGAAGATCGCTAGGCATGGCGCGCGCGCTCGAGTACCGAGAGCTCCAAGATATCCAGGAGATAGCGAAGTATATAAAGATGGATAGAGCACAGCGAAGTGTATGCGTGCGAGAGATTTCGCGCGCGCGCGCGAGAGAGAGAGAGAGAGAGAGAGAGCTACGTTGATGAAGGATGATATACGACGTGAACGAATAATAAAAAAAAAGGAACGTTACTTTGCCCCGCTGTTCCAGTTTTCGTACGTAACGCTCTGAAGTTCGCCACTGGTCGTCATAGAAATGCTAACCATGGGTATTTCCCCGTTAGATACCTACGAATATGGATGGGGGGTCGTTCTGGGTCGCTCTTAAAATTCCGCAATTGTAATGTGGCCCCGAAATACCACGGCTACCCGGCACATACGCGCTCGACGACAATCGCCTTCACGATACACGTAGCCGTGTTTACATCGAAGCGAGCGTCTCTTCGGTAGACCGCGGAGAGTCGGAAAATAGTTGCAAAAGAAGAGGCACAATGCGTATGTACCATTTAGCGTTTTGCAAGGAATGAATGACCGGCACGAGGCGGGAGGAGTATGGGAGAAACGTGAAAACAAGACAAAGAAAAAGGGGAACAACGAGAATTACGAGGTGGAAGAACCGTGGAAGAAGGTCGTGCCGACGCGCGAAGTACAATTAGCCCATTCATCGGAACAGTATGTATGCGTTACGGTGTGCGTACGTTTTGTACGCGTTGTATGTACACGTATCTCGTATCGAAGCGATATGAACCCAGCAGCCTCGGGTTTCTCTGTTATGGTGCTTCTCGACGATCGGCACACAGTACGCACGGGGGATTCTTATATTGGGATTTATAATCGTACCGTAATGGAGAGTTTATCGCGAGGTATGGCGCCC